TGGCTAAGCCAAGAGCTTGTGCCATTTGCCTTTGGCTTTCACTGACTGCCTTTTTTTTTTGTTTGCCTGGACGCAAAGACAAACCCATAAAAATGTCACAATTCATCAACGCGGCTAAGTAGTTTCGTATTTTATAACGTCCAAAGGGAGCTGACTTTTTGTTTATATATTACCTTTCTTTTTTCCCCTTTCTTCCCTCTTTTTTGGCTACCGAATTTGAACGCTTTTAGCGTGACCTCAGCGGCTTTTTTTTTGGCAACTGCCTAATGTGAGCTATAGAAAACAGAAAACGGACTAAGCTAGAACTCAATTTGAGCACATTAGACAATTATGAAGCGAAAGCCCTTTCAGCTGGGGCTAATTTAAATTTATGGCATGCCAATGCACACTTCCAGCCTCAAGTGGAGCCTGGATGTATTAAAGGCTTAGGCAAACTTTCAAATACGAGTCACACGAATCGCTGTCTCCATTCATGAATATTCAATTAGAGCGAGACAAAAGATATAGATTTTAAAATACAAAAGACATTCAATTTGCATTTAATGCTTAGTTCGATCTGTTGAAGTCAAAAGTCAAAGAGCAGCACATCGCTTAATAATACGGTCTATATTTTAATCAGTGTTCTTCATAAGTGACACGTGAATTTCCATACGAATAATTTGATCGATTCCTGAAGTCATTTGAATGCTACCTACACACACACAGCATGTAGCTCAACTACTCTATATAGTGTACGCTCTAGAAAATTCTGTACTCTGTACTCTGTGCCTGCTTGTAGATCTGGGCTGGGCGGCAGTCGAGCTGTCGACTCGTTCTTAGTGGGGGGTCATCATTTTCGTGAATTCCTCATAGCTGAGCAGGCCATCCTTATCCTCGTCGCCCAAGCGTATGTAATTTTCGAGCTCCTCCTCCGTTGGCTTCCAGGACAATTGGCTCATGACGTTGCCCACCTGATCCGGGCGAATGTAGCCGGTGTTCTCCTTGTCATAGATGCGGAAGGCTTCGCGTATATCGTCCTCATTCTGCGGGTGCGTCAGTCGTAAGACCATCGCGTGGGCGAATTCTTCAAACTCAATGACGCCGTTGCCACTCATATCCAGTTGATTTATCATATCTGTGAGTTCACTTTCTGTTGGCGGCTCGATTCCTAGAGAATAGAAAAACAGAGCCAATTCGCGCGTCTGAACCAAACCTTCTCCATCGCGGTCCAGCAAAGAGTACGCATCCCTCAGCACTTCCCAATCCGCGTCCGAAAGCTCTGGCATGTCTAATAAATACTTTACAAATTTCGCATACAAAATCAAATACAAAATCTGAAAATCTGAAAAATCTGTGAACAGGAATTCCTGTGTGTGTACTACTTGAATGAAACTTTATAACTGGCATAAGCCATGTGCACACATATATAGACCGATTCTTCAGATCCCAACGCCTACTCTGTCTTGCTTGACCTTGGAAACTTGCGGAAATT